GTACGACAGAATGAAACGTGGTCCAGTCTTCATCCTCATGACTGTCAGCATGTTTGAGCTCATCATTGCAGCTATTGTGCGAATCCATCTCATCAAGGGTCTCCTTCATCCTTGCTTGCCCTCTGCTTCACCAAACATGACTGTCCCCCTCCAGCAACTGATGCCTGCTGATGACACACCCAAAGCAGGAGGATCAGACAATGTTCTGTTGTGACCCATAAGATTTTCACTGGTTAATTTTCATAAATAGATATCCAGGCCTTTCTTCCTACTCCTTCTTAGTCCAAAAGCTCCACTGAAACCTGCTCATCATGAATGACCCTGCTGATATTTGAAATAACGGAAGCCACCAGAGTATGACAAACTGACAGATGAGTGGTGGGCCTCATCTTTAGCATTGGGATAATAATGGTATTTTCACATGGGATTCTGGTGAAGATGAATTGAGATCATTTATGTAATGGGCTTAGCCAGGATGTTGGCAGGAGCTTTACAGCAGGATCATCAGACTGATATGCAAGAAGATATACTGTGGCCAGAATGGAGATAGGGAAGGCCCAAAGCAGGAGGCAATAGACCAAAGGGAAAAAATGAAGAGAAGCAATGGGGGAGAAGCAGTGGCCAAGGAAAGGAAGACACAGCACCAAGAAATATTCAGGAAGTGAAACTCAGAGGATGTACTGAGAACCACACGTCATCAAAAGATGTATCTGTAGAACAAGCTAACCTTCAATTATGAAAACTCAGAACACAGGAAACGTGGCTTCACCTTCATGAAGTCAGTATGTCATTATGTGCAGTCCAAATCTCAAGAACATTTGGTACCTCGACAAGATAATAAAAGCTTCCAGGGCAAAAAAAAAAAAATCAGATCCCTTTAGCCTGATTTTCCTTCCTTGGAACACTAAGATTTTGTTTCTTTATCTGAAGGTCAGTAAAATCCTGGTACTTGAAGTTACTTTCTAAGAAAAAAAATGAACATGGTCAATGTGTATGGAGATTCCTTGAATGGCTGGAAGATTTTCTTCACTACAACCAACTTAAAATATGAATTCTCAGGTACCCCAGTAATTTAATGCAATTGATTTCATGCTGGTTTTCTTTCTACCTGTAAGTAAGCATATGCTATATTTCATGAAGATTAACAGCCAGACCATTCCAGCTCTGCTGTTTACTAGGCGTGACCTTGGACAAGTAAATAAACTTATGTGTTTTTGTTTCCTCATCTGAAAATTGGGAGCGCTGGTAGCATAGTGGCTAAGACACTTGCCTGCTAACCAGACGGCTGGCGGTTCAAACCCACAAGCCACTCCTCGGAAGGAAGGTTGGGCAATCCTACTTCCGTAGTGATACTGCCTTGGAAACCCAAGGAGGGGTCCTATGAGTCAGGGCCGACTCCACGGCACATAACAACAACAACAACAACAACATCTGAAAATAGAGATAACAATGACACATTATCTTTCTTATAACTGTTGTAAGAATTAAATGACATAATGCAGGTAAGTACTTAGAATAGTACATGACATAGTAAGTAATATCATCAATTTTTTTATTTCATGGTCTTCCTTTGCACAGTCTAGGCCAATGACTCAAACTTTAATGTGCATCAGGGTCAGCTGGAGGGCTTACTAAAATACAGATTACTGGGCTCCACACCCAAATTTCCAGTCAGGGCAGAGCCTAAGACTGTGTAAAATCCTATGGAGCACAGTTGTACACTGCAATACACAGGGTCTCCTGAGTCGGAATGAACTGGGCAGCAACTGTTTTTGGATTTTTGTTTATTTATATTAAAACAAGCAAGACCTGTTAATATTGACATTTGACTCCTTTGCTCATATGAAGAGACCCTGGTTGGCTGAAGCTGCTATAATCCTCTATATCAGAATGAAAAATAATCAAAAACTTTATACTGGATGCTAACTAGGTTAGCAGAAGATCTGGTAGTGGTGTGGTTAAAACATTCAACTGCTAACCAAAAGGTCGGTGGGTCAAACCCACCAGCTGCTCTGAAGGAGAAAGATAAAGCAGTCTGCTTCTGTTAAAAAACAACCATGGAAACCCTATGGGGCAGTTCTACTCTGTCCTTAATAGGGTCACTATGAGTCAGAATCGACTCAATGGCAGGTGGTTTGGTTTGTTCGTAACCAGGTTAGCCCTGTTCTAAGCATCTTATATGAAAAAATTCAATCCTCATGACATCCTTTTAAGCTAGTGGTATTGTTTTCCCCATTCAGTAGATAAGGAGACTGAGGCTTAGAGAAATAAATAACTTGTCCAAGTAGTCTTAGACTATTCTATAGCCCTTAACTATGATGGTATACTGACTACTCCTAAGACACTGAAATACTACAACAAAATGCCAAGAAATGGAAGGATATATCCTTGTCAATTTCTTTAAAAAAAAAAAAACAGTAGAGGAAGGATGGGAAGAGAAGTAAAGCCCAGCCAGATCAGCCTAGATCAACTGAGCCCCACAGACGGATGAGAAATAAATGCCTGTTATATGCCAATGAGGTTTTGTGGTTATTTGTTACTCAACAAAAGCTAACAGACACAATACTCATTTCCACAAGGACCACCTACTGAGAGATCAAATGGACAACAGCGTAACTCAGCTCAAAGTATTATGGCCAATCAGAACGCAACTCAACGAAAGCCAGCAATGACAGTATAATGCTGATCAATGTGTACATAAAGATTATTAGAAGCACACTGGTTCTTTCTCTAGAAATTCTAGAAAAAACAAATCAAAATAAAGCTAAAGTCCAATTCCATGTGACAACATTTGTGCTCCTGAACTGACTTTAGGAAGAGTCTTCAATAACCCTGTGATGGAAAGGCAGGCTTTACAGCTCTCTGCCCTAAGCAGGAAAGCTACGAGCTCACTTTTTCTGTCAGATGCTCCTCACACCTCACAGATCCTGCAGGAAGTTGAGGAACTTTCACCTGAGACTTGTGCTAGGCACCCAATGACATGTCCATAAGCTGATGTGTTCAGAAACAAGAACTTCTGTGAAAAAGTGTAGGTTAAACATTTAAATCCTACATCCACATTCTCAACAGATTCATTTTCATTTAATTTTGGACAAGTCCCTATCACTTTGTCCTAACATGGGAATAGAAATTTTTTTCATTGGCTCTCCAAGTACTAAACCATGTGGCCTGAGAAACATCTACAAACCACAGTGGTTTTCTACGCCTTAACTCCCTCTGGAACTTTTATATCACCCATTCTATCCAATGTGGCACTGAATTGCTTGCTCTCTACCATATGGATTCTGCTTCCCTAGTGAGGCCTTGAACCTCTCAGATACAGCAGCTGGGTCTTTGGCATTTTCTATGCTATTCAGTAAGTACATCCTTTTAGGTTTACCAAGATTATTAACATTAATTGAAGTCTCTAGGTATACAGTTAATGCTCGACCACTAACCAAAAGGTTGGCAATTCAAAACCACCCAGAGGCACTTCAGAAGTAAGGACTGGCAGTCTGCTTCCAAAAGGTCAAAACCCCAGACTTGTGTCTAAATCAGAGGCTATATATTAGCTGAAAAATGCAAGGTCTGCAAGAGATTTAAAGCCTATGTGCTATGTCAGGGTTCCCAAGAAGTTTTCCGAGGAGCCCTGGTGGCACAATGGTTAAATGCTCAGCTGCTAACCAAAAGGTTGGCAGTTCAAAGTCATCCATTGGTTGTGCAAGACAAAGCTGTAGGGATCTGCTCCCGAAAAAATTACAGCCTAGAAAACTCTATGGGGCAGTTTTACCCTATCTTATAAGGTCACTATAAGGAGCTCTGGTAGCACAGTGCCTAAGGCAACTGACTATTAACCAGAAAGTTGGTGGTTCAAACCCACCAGCTACTTGTGAAAGCTACACTGGGTAATCTGCATCCATAAAGACTTACCACCTTGGAAACCCAACAGGGGTCACTAGAAGTCAGAATCAACTCAACAGCAGTGGGTTTGGCTTTTTTAATAAATCACTATGAGTCAAAATCAACTTGACAGCACGCAACAATAACAATGATGACTTCCTGCTGATTGTGAACACAGTGCCATGGTAGGGAGCACCAGTACCACCTCTAGATGAACTCACAACCATGCTGGTATAGCCTAAAGTAGAGTGAAGACTTTTCCCCACACTGCAACCTTTCTTTCCAGTGGGACACTCTGACCAAGCCAAATCCCCTCATGGACAGTGCAGCAGAATCTCCATGCCACTCTGGTTTTAACAAACCCCCAGTGAGAAACCATCTGACATAGCATATTTTAAACACATAAATTGGGGGGAAGCAGGACACCAGGGGTGAGGGGTTCTGAATCCAGCCAGAAAAAAAGAGAAAGGTATCATTTATATTTCGCTCTTTCCTTTTCTTGGCTTACTACTACATCTGGATTATTTGAGGCAGGGAGAAAGAAAATGTGGGAGGAAGGAAGAAAGTTGACGTGTAATCACCACTGCATGGCAAGATGAAAGAAAACTCCTTCTCTCTAGACTCCTATATCCACTACTTTTACCTAGAAACCAAGTAACACAAATCAGAGAGCTACAGGAAGGAACTATTCCAGCCAGCAGAAAAGGTACTGGTGAATGCTCCATGTCTATTGTTGTTATTGTACAAAAATGCCTGCTAAGAAGAATCTAGGGTAACCAGACTGACAAAGCATTGTTACTTAGCAGTACACAAGGGATCAAGGCTGGTGAACCTCTTCATCTACAACTTAGCAATGCAACGCAACACAATGCACTGCCGTCAAGTCGGATCCTCATAGAGACCCCATCTTCGGTTTCTGATGCAGTATCACTACAGAAGTAGATTGCCCAACCTTCCTTCCCAGGAGTGGCTGGTGGATCTGAACCGCCAACCTTCTGGTTAGCAGTCAAATGTCTTAGGCATTACATGCCACCAGAGCAATTTGTATTCTACTAGGTAGTTGGAAAGGGAGGTGGGGAAAAAAGAATAGGCCCATTACTGAACCCTGAGCATCTACTTACAGGCTCCACGAACTCAAACATCTTTCTCTCTTGGACTTCCTGCACCTTGAAGACATACTCCAGGGACACTTCATAGAAATGCTGTCGGACCAGGTCCACTTGGCTGTCTGCCTACAAACAAGATGGAATTTAAGAGAAAATCAAGTCAATACCCACACTGACCATTCAGCATACAGGACAGAACATTTCTGGAGGTAATTAAAAAAAAAAAAAAATCAAATAGCTAACATGAAACAGAAATAACAAAAAAGGTTAGCTGAGCACTAATCCTGTGGCAGGTACCATGCCCATAAACCAAACCAAACCAGCTGCCGTCTAGTTGATTCTGACTCATGGCAAGCCCATGTGTTTCAGAGCAGAACTGTGTTCCACAGCGTTTCCATGGCTGTGTCTTTTGGAAGCAAATCTCCAGGCCTTTCTTCTGAGGTGCTTCTGGGTGGGTCTGAACCACCCAACTTTCTGTTAGGGCGGATCCATCTGTGTCACCCAGGGGGTCTGTTACCATCCCTATAGTTACATGTATATCACCTTATTTAATCTTCATTATAGGAAATGATTCAAAGGTACCTGTTTTTTGGATTTACTTTATATATATAGATATATAGATATATGCTGGTTTAAAAACCTGTAAAGAAGATATTATCTTTATCTCTAATTTACAGAAGAATAATGAAATCAGCTAACAGTAAGGAACCCAACTAAGGTTATGGATCTAATACATGGCAGAGCTGGGATTTCTGTCCTGGTCTGTCTGCCTCTAGCACTGACCTCTGATCATCATTAAACCACTAGGATCTACCACTTTCCACACCATGGGGCAGACCTAGGTTCCACAGAAGACAGAAGTATAAAGAGAAGAAGAAAACTAGAAGGGCCATCCCCATTCCATCCTTCCTAATGAGCAAAGCGAGTTGTTAGAGGGCAGGGAACTGGATCTGATCAACCTGTTTCTCATAAAATTTAGAAAAGAACATTGTTCAGACAAGTCCTAGATACTTTTCTTTGTGATAAGGATAAACTGCCACTTTATCCCAAGAAAAGAAATTACATTGTTCCTTTTGAGCCTTGCCTATCCCTCTGTGCAAGTGAGTTTATTTAAATATCCATGTGTTTCCAGGAAAGGCCCATATGTGGGTACCCAATTAAAACCACTATTCTAGACAAAAATTCAAAAATACAAAAAAGACCAGAACTGCTGGTCAAATGTAGACTGGTGAAACCCCTGAGACTCTAGCCTGGGTTAACCTTCAGACCTGGAATGGGACTCACTTCTATAGATTAGTTCTCAGCCAAATAACAGAAAAGCCTACAAGCAGAACACATACCCTATGGAGATGCACCCCCCCACACACACACACTCCAGGGAGATGCACCCCTTAGATCTATCAACCTATGATCTACCAATCTTAGATCTATCTATCTATGAGAGATCAGAAGGGTAGCATTTTCATAGGGGGAAAGCTGGACAGACAGGAATGCATAGGTAAGAAGGGCACAGGCAAGGGGTAGTCACAGGGAGGAGATGGGAGGAGAGCTATTTATTGTTGTGATTGTAATTGGTGCCATGAAACAAAATGTCTACCAACTGTTGAGACTGAAATGAATCTTTATAAATGTGCACTCAAATCACAATAAAAATTAAAAAAAAAAAAAAAAAATTGTTCCAGGATCTAGAACTCAGGAGGTAATTGAGTATGTGTGGGTAGTAAGATGGCTAGGCTGGTAAGTAACTACTTCAGCTACCACTACTATAAACTCTTAACCCTCCTATAGTGTGTCTATGAGAGCTCTGGTGGCGTAGTGCCTAAGGCACTGGACTGCTAACCAGAAGGCTGGCAATTCAAACCCACCAGGTACTCCTGGGAAGGAAGGTAGGGGAATCTATTTCTGTAGTGATACTGCCTTGAAAACCCAATGAGGGGTTGCTATGAGTCAGATCCGACTTGAGGGCAGTGCATTTAGAGTATGTCTATATCAACCCATTCATTCCAGGCAAATAATTTTGTGGAAAGCATATTTTTTATGACAAAAAACTAAAGTGAATACATTTTTTCAATAGAAATTAATATCCTGCTAGTAGAGGGAAAAAAACACTTTGTATTCCTTAGAAATGAAGGCACCAGAGAACTTTCTATAATGCACTTTACTAAGCAAAGCCCCAGGAATATTTCGTTCAGTGGTCCTTTGTCAAGATTCCTACAGAAGAAACTAGGGACAGCCTTTTTCTTCCATTACAACAAAAAAGAGGGGTGGCACAAACAGTTTGAGTTCAAATATTAACCTAATGGATGGCAGTTCAAACACCCCCAGTGGCACCTCAGAAGAAAGACCTAGAGATCTGCTCACAATAAGATTAGTCAAGAAAACCCTGTGGAGCAGTTCTACTCTGTAACACACAGGACCACTATGAGTCAGAACTGACTCAACCCCAACTAACAACAACCCTGACAACTTACCAGCTTGGCAAAGCATTCATTCATTCAACCATCATGAGCCAAAAAGAAACTTCCTTTGTGGAGCTTACAGAATAGTGAAGAAGAGGATATTAATCAAATAATCACGTAAATAGTAAAAATTACAAATTCTGGTAAAGTGTAGGGTGCTATGACACATCCCAGAAGAATTCACTAAATAAGAGTTTCCCAGTCTAGCAGCTTCTTCTCAGGACAACTTACAAATGTAGACATGGAAGCTAGTCAGCTGAATAACTGCTGAATAAAACCAAAACTAAAGGACTGAGAGCAGAGTTTCTGAAAGATCTCAATCCATTCCCGGGCCTGGCTACTCAGACAACTGTACTGACATACCTTCCATCTGGCTCCTGCCAGCTAAGTTCCATACTCCTAAACCAAACCAAGCCAAACACACTTCCGTCGAGTTGGACCCAACTCATAGCAACCCTTCCTTAGGGAGCTCTGGTAGCATAGTGCCTAAGGCACTTGACTGCTAACCAGAAAGCTGGTGGTTCAAACCCACCAGCCACTCCTCGGAAGGAAGGTTGGGCATTCCTACCTCCATAGTGATAATGCCTTGGAAACCCAAGGAAGGGTCGCTATGAGTCGGGGCAACTCGATGGCAAATAACAACAACAACAACATCCTTTAATTGCCTCTTCGTGCAAATCCAATCCCCTTACACCAAAAGGTGTATTTACTTTCCTGACTACCTCGCACACACCTCCTACCTCCTGCCTGCCTGGTCTTACCAAATGAGACAACAAATGAACAAAAGGGGTCATTCTGTAAATGTGTCAAGTGCCTCTCACAGTAAGACAAGAATAAAAGAGCCACAAGGAAATGTCTGTGAGAAAATCAGAGCCGAAAGAAAACAAGGTTAGGGAGTGAAGCTGACCAAACACCTGGGTTCTGGTTCCAAGCCTATCACTTACTAGCTGGCGAGCTGGGCCCAAGTCACTTATACTCTCTGCACCTCTCTCCCACATCTGGTGGATAGAGATATTAATAATTGTCCTTGCTTATGAGCAGAGCTTTTCCCAGGGGCAATGAGCTAAAAGACATCAATAACTGGAAACCAGTGAAGTGTTCTACGTATGCTGGTTGTTATTACTACCAGGCACTTCAGAGCAGATAGGCTTTAGTCCCTGCTCCTCATCAAAGCTGCCACATCAACACTGGGCAACTAACTAGTCTCCCTGCTCTCCTCCCCTGCCTCTCCCTCTCACTGTGCTGCAGCCACTCTGGCCTCTCCTCCCTGTTCTCCAACATTTCAAATTTCTTTCTTACCTCCCAATCTCTGCACTTAATAACCATTCTGTCTGAAAATCTCTTCCCCTAGATAAATATTCATTTAACTTCAATGCACATCATGACCCAATAAAAAACTGTAACAAAGGTTTCAGAAAGTACTGAGGGGAATATATGCTAACATTTATTTTTTGTTGTTGTTCTAGCCAACTTTATTTCTTGATCCAATCATTTAGATTTTATGATATATCCACAATTTGAAGAACACTGTCCACGCTCTTCGTTAGCTTGCTCCTTCTCATCCTTCTGGTCCAATTCAGATGTCACCTCCATAGTTCAGATGCGGTCAAGGAGAAGCCTTCTTTGACCATTAAATAGGTCACCCCAATGGGACTTCATCTTATCTCCTTATTTATTTCCTTATTACTATGTGAAATTCGTATTTATTCCCTTCTTTACTTGTGTATTACCTACTAGATTATAAACAAATAAGACAGCAAAGATCTTATTTGTCCACTTTCATATTCTCAGCACCTAGAATGGTTCCTGGTACATAGTAAACGAACAATAGATGCTTGTGGAATTAATAAATTAATCTCCATGTAGCCCTCAGTCAGAACCAAAGGCATGTTCCTGTAGCCACCCAGCACTAAGAAGAAACACCAGAAAACATTTCTGGAGGAAAACAAAGAAGAAATCCCAAGTGGAATGATACACTTCAGCCAATTCCACTGCTCACTCTGAGCCACAGAATTAATTCACTACACCTTAGACACTTCTCTGTGGAATCACAAACCAGGATTCCAACCTACCAACAGACCACTCAAGACAGTCTCCCTGCCTATTATTTGGTGTGGTAGTTAAGGCTGTGTGTCAACTTGCCTGGCATTTGAGTTGTTTGGCAGTTGGATGTAGTTATGCACCATGATGAGATTAGATGTGGTGTACTCACCGACATGGTGGAATCTGCTGTGAGCAGTTAATCAGTTGAAGGGAAGTTGCCCTCGGGGTATGGACTGCTTCCAGTATATAGGAAAAGGATCCTGCATTTGGCTAATTATCATCTCCAGGTCCTGGACTTAAACCAGTGACCTGCCCATCTTGGGGATTGCTGCCTTCACAGCCTGTGAATCAACAATCTGTCATTTAACCTGCCAATTTTGGACTCATCAGCCTCAGAAGCCAGCAGCTGCATGAGTCAGGAGACGCCTCCAGCTTGCCCCAGTGGGCCTGGAAGGTAGAGCTGAAGTCCAAAGTTGAGGGGCCTCCATTCAGCCCCTGAACCCAGTACTCTGAACTCACACTTCTAGCCTCCTAAACTGTGAAAGAATAAATTTTTGTTTGTTAAAGCCATCTGCTTAAGGCTGCAGGAGACAGCACTAAAGAACTCACAGACACTTACAAAGC